ACTTTATATTTGTCTTCTTCCTTTTTTTTTTTATTGTCCTGCAAAGTTTGGCTAGTTACAGATTTTGAATAAACTTTTTTGGCGAGATACATCCAAATGTTGACGAGGACACAAGAAGAGCCACATAAAATCGTTTGTAAGGGTGAAATTGACTTTAATTAAGTTTATTGATGAATTGTAATTAATTCCTTTTCCCAATCTTCTAGCATCTAATTTTTCAAGGTTCTGTACTAAAGTTTATCAAACTTTAATCTACCTTTATTCAAGAATTTTTTACTAGATGTTTTAGTTGATAGTTAATTTTATGAGTTTTGGCAATTAAATTGCTATATGACAATAGTAATCGGTGGATATTTCACAATTTATCCCATTTTAGAGTGTTTTTATTAGTTGCCAATTTTCTGCATTAACATATTTGACAACCCTTCGGAGGATATTCGTTGCCTTCAAAAACTCGGGCCGTATGTTTTGGGGACAAATATCCCCTCTGAAACGGATTTTCAGACCCCACTTGAAGTTTGAGATTGCTAGAGAAGCCAACATGATATCTACATATTTACCTCAATGCCCTTGTATAGTAGAAAACAAGGGTTTTTATTCCCTTCTTTCCATTTTCACCCACTGATCCCCCTTTTTGGTACGAATGGTGCTCACCCACAAGTCCCCCCTCACAAGTGAACGACGCTCACCCACCGCCCCCCCTCACAAGCGAAGGTATGCCTTTCTCTCTCTCTCTCTCTCTCTCTCTCTCTCCGGGCTTTATAGCCATGGATAGAAACCAGAAAAAAATCTAGAAAATCTAGTCTATATAAATTGAAGCCTGAAGCATCCGTTGACGATAACGAATTCCGAATCACTTCAGAGGTACTGGTTCTCATACGGCATTGAATACCTCACTCTCCCTTGAAGCCAACATCGTCTGCAAATGCCTCGCTCATATCGAACAACAGGTCTTACAATCTCTCTCTTTCTCCCTCCCCCCTCTCTCTTTCTCCGTCATTATACGTACATATTTATGGATGTGCAATTGTGTTTGTGTTTCGTGATTACTATGGCGAGTTAATGGGCTTATTCACCCTAAATTGCTCATCGGCGGATTGTATTAAGTCGCTGATCGCCTATTCGAATCCTGTTATTAGAATTATCAATCCCAGATTACCCTTCAACGGATTGTGTAAATGTGCTAAGTAATCATTCAAAGACTGTTTCGTAGATCTTTGCCCCTCAATGTGATTTGATGGAAATTGTTTCAAATGCCATGCTTCTTTAATTGATCCGATTTTGGGGTTTCCCTTCAGAAACTGTTTAAATCAATCATTTTGTTGATTCATGAGCTTTTATTCAAGTGTTAGTAAGCAAGCTTATATGCGTTGCAACTTCTTTGGCTGTCTTTTTTGCGGATTACTTATATATGAGTATGGAAGAACACTTACATTTTGTATAGTGACAAAGACCCAGAATTATATAGAAATTGAATGATTTTCTTGTCAAATTAGGCAACCGTTGGATCAAATAATTTGTAGTTGTGAACTAGTTGCCAAGTGAAGCTTTCAAATAGGTTTTGCTTCTTATAAGTTATATATGCGGAGATGGCTTCCTAGAAACTAGTTATTTAGGTAGTTTTCCATGCTTCATTTGTCTTGATTATCCGTAACAATAGTGTGTCTCTATGTTTGAATCCTGCTTTATGTATATGTTCTTTTAGTTTAAATATTTTGGACTTAATTGTTGTAATATTTGCTTCTTAATCACATTAGAATTATACGTTTCTATAATTTTTAAGCATTTATGTCTTTGTGAACCTACACCTATGTTTTGTTTTGATATCTATTTCACAATTATTTCATGTGTATAGAGAAGCGAATGGGGTTATTGATGTTTTGGCTAACAGGGCTGTGAAGGATCAGTTCAGTTCGTATTTTTCATGCGTTGATTTGTTGCCGAAAATGATCAAGTTGATGCAGCTGCTGGACCGAAGAAGGCTGCTAGTTGGTAGAGTCACAAATGTGCTCATTTTTTTATGATAAAAGGCCAAGATAGATTGACTGTATAGGGATTTTGGATAATTTTTCTTTTTAAGAGAAGTTTTGTTGTTTTTATATGTTTTGAAGGAGGTTTGGATAGGGTTTTTCCCTTTTGCTTCTTGTAATTTTTTTAGTGATTGGAAATAAAATTTTCATCTTTTTTAAAAAAAAAAAGGATTATTTAATGTTATGGTTTTTTTAATATCTTTTGTGGATGAAATATCTATGTAATCATTCAAATTGTTGGTAGTTCTAATGCAAAAAATTGAGAAGTTCCTACAAACAAGATCACCTGTTTAACTCATATCCAATTTCCAGGTGGTTTGGGACTGTTGTGTTTTGCTACTACTGTTTTTATTGTCTGTCTTCCTACACTAAACTATCAATTTCGTTCTTATTTTCCTGTCCAAAGTATCACGACAATTTGCCACAACTCATTATAAAGTATACTTGCAGTTTCCATCATATTGCTCTTTTCCTGTTCATCTGGGAACTAGAATTCGTGTCTTACCCCTTGCAGACCACATTCAAAAAATAATTTGCAGTTTTCCTTCATACATGCTCAATAATGATCTTGCTCTGTCAGTTTTCCTTCATACATGTATATTTTTTCTTTGTAACACAAGTTTTGTTCTTTTTAACATGTTTTGAAGGAGGTTTGTATACGGTTTCTCCCATCCTGGCTTCTTGTATTTTTTTTGGTGATTGAAAATAATTTTTTCTTCATTTAATTTCTAAATAAAAAAATCGTTAATTACTACTATGGTTCATGTGAATTTAAGTTGTGACATAGTTTTTCCTATATTCAGGCATTTTTTTTTCCTAAATATTTTAATATCTTTAGCGGATGAAATAAATTTGTGAACGTATTATAAAATCAACGTGTAATAATAGGTATTTGGTGAATGCATAAGCATTCTTAAATCTTTTACAATATTAAATTGGTAACCAACAATGATTAAAAAAAAAAAGTTGTAACCAACAATTCTCAAACCAAACATGAGATAAGATTGTATATGATTCAAGGGTAAAATGGTCTATTTATGTCAAAAGTATTAGATGTTTAGTAAAAAATTGAAATTTGTCTATATCCCAACCACATTGTAATGCACTATTCAAACCTAGGATTAGATAACATAATTTCCTTTTATCCCCCTAACATATCCGGCCCATTGAGATTTCATTGGACTGGTTTGGGATTTAAATCCAAGCCAGTCCAGTTCACCCATGAATTGCCAAACACACCCAAAGATCTCAAGTTCAACCCCTTCTTACACCCACTAATGGCTAACCACCCTTACCTTTTAAGGGACAAGCTCTAACTCAACTCAAATCACGAAGGCTAGCTCTAACTACATTTTTCTCTAACACTTGATATTTTTTTAAAGTCCACAATAATATTTTGAAATGCATTAAATCTTATCATTAGAATCTCAAATTAAATTTTAGGATAAATTACATTTTATACCCTAAAAAATTTAAGAATTCATACTTTATACTACTTTAAAATTATATTTTTAAAATTACACTCCTAGTCTTGTTTGTTTAAAGGATAATGGGGGTATAAGGAGGTGAGATTAGTAAAAATAGTGCGTATGGCTCAATAATACCTTATTTATTTGCCTTTTTTCGTGTGGTACTATATTTTGGGTAGCAATACTGACCCGCTCTTTATAGTCACCGAAAACACATGTACATGAGCTTATATAATAACATCTAGGAGGTGGTATTATTTTTTGGGTTTTCGCCACCAACGATATTAAGGAGGTTAATGGATGAATTACCCTTTCGGCCTTTTATGTTAGTATGGGGGCCCACCAACCGTTTTTTGTTTTTTAATTTTATTAATTTTTTTTTAAAAAAATTTTGATTTTAAATTTTTTCATTGTATTATGTTTAAGTATGCGGTATCATTGTTTTTTTTTATTTTTTTATTTGTTTTTTATTTTTTTAAAAAAAAATATTTTGAATTTTTTTTCTTATATTGTGTTTAAGCGTATGATGTCACCAATTTTTTTATTTTATTTTTATTTTGAATTTTTTTGTTGTATTATGTTTAAGCGTACAATATCACCGATTTTTTTTTTATTTTTCTTTTTCACAAATTTTTTTGTACATACATCTAGAACATACATATATTGTATTATACCAAACATTGTGCAAAAACGTTACACAAAACGGAATAATGAAATGAATGATATTAAGGGTAAAATTGTATGTTTGTTATATAAGATATGATAAAATAGACGGTTATTTGTGACACTCACCATATTACTTATTGAACTAACAAACATGGGAGGAGATTGAAATACTTTATATTATCGATACTAATTTTCGTTGACATTGGAAATGTAAGGAATAAATTTCTCAAACCATGTATAACAATCCTCAAAATAAACATGCTCTTAGTTAGATGTACTTAAAAATTAGACTTAATAATTCTAATCATTTAATAGATAGTAGGTCTCAATAAATACTGAAATCCATTATTGTAATTATCAAGTCTATTTTTTAAGTTCATGTAACATTGCTCTAAAAGTATTACAATTACTTTATCTTCTCATTAGAACCTCAATTTAAATTTTAGGATAAATTATATTTTATATTAAAAAGATTTAAGAATTCATAGTTTATATCTTTAAAATTAAATTTTTTATATTTTACCCGCAATATATTAAAAATATTGTAATGTGACATTCCTATTATATTCTAATTTTTTTTTTGGGTAAGTATCAATGACTGATTGTTGACGAAAAAAAATAACGGAATTGCAAACTCTAATAACCACGTGACCTAATTTGTGATGAATTTTGAAAGATTATTTTAAAAGACAACAAACAAGAACAAACATAAAAACAATTCTATTCAGGATAATTTCATTAGTTGGAAAACTTTGGAATTCCAAATTTACCCTTCCGTACATAGAAACGGAAAATCCCCGCGGAAGAGAGAGAAAACGCAAAAACAGCATCAGATCTCCAGCCAAGCCAGTCTCCAGTCTCCACTATCCCCAGAAGTCAGAATCAACGGCTAACACCAGATTCGAACAACTTTGAAGACTCTCTCTCTACTCCCCACAAATTCTCCTTCTCTCTACCACCAATATGCAGAAAACAGCTCAAGGATGGTTCACCGGAGGCCCAAGCAGCAGTACGAACAACGATCTTCAAAAATCATCATCTCTACTCGCAGATTGGAACGCTTATGCCTCTGCTAAAGCCTCGGAGGAGTCTGATTCGAGCTTAGGGTTCGATCTCGAAGCCGCTGTCCGAACCGCCAACGATAAGGTCTCCGGCACTTTCAACGTGTAAGCAATACACCTAGCTTCTCTGCATTCATTTGTTCTTATGATCCTATACTCTTCTCTGTGATTTAGGGCTTAATTTTAACCGTTAACAGTGATTCCGATTTCCGACTGTTCATAATCCAACTAAATTGATGCTAAGTTGCGTTCGTGAACGCAAATAGAGACTTACAGACGTTTCAGGATGGTGTATTGATGGGTGGAGAGAGAGAGATTTGGCATTTCGAAGAAACACACATTACGACGATATTCAGGGGCGGATTCACGGTGGGGGCTGGAATTTTAAAAATTTTTGGGGACTAGGTGTAATTTTAAAAAATTTAGAATTTATTAGATATTTGTCCCCACTGAATTTTTTTTAAAAGATTTAAGGGTAATTATGTTATTTTGACAAATATATGAGTCTCACTTGTAAATATCAATGGAAGATGATATCAAAAATTTGGACATTTAAAGATTAACTAATATGTTACGAAATAGATTAGCCTTCTCATTTGTTTTATGTTTATACATCGAACTAAATTTAGGGCTTGTAATCCTCTTCTTTGTTTTATGTTTATATGTTAGAATTGAAAATTAGGGTTCGTAGCTCTCTTTTGTGGTTTTTTTTTTAAATGTTGAATTGAAATTAGCGCTTGTAGCTCTGTTGTATTTTATTTGTTACATGTTGAATTGAAAATATAAAATTGGAGTTTGTAATCATCTCTTATGTTTTATTTTTTATGTATTGAATTGAAATTAGAATTTGTAGTCTTATATTTATTTTTCTATGTTGAAATAAAATTGGGGCTTGTAGTCCTCTTCTATGATTTATTTTTTTATATATTTAATTGATATTTGGGTTTGTAGTCCTCTCTAGTATTTTATTTTTATATGTTGAATTAGAATTAGAACTTGTAGTCGTCTCATTTGTTTTATTTTTATTTGTAGAATTGGAATTAGGACTTGTAGTCTCCATTATAATTAGACTAAATTATTTTGATTTGGTAGTTTGAACAGTTTTATTGTGATAAGTTATGTACTTCATATACCTATGTTTAGTTTACTAAAATAATTATAGTTTAAGTTAGTTTCGATTGTTTGTTAAAATTTAATGATGAATATTAAGTTGGTGATTGAACTAATTAATTTTTGAATTAGTTATGAAAATTTTTCTTAAAATTTAATATATGATTGAGCCCAATTTTGCGGTTCAAAATTTTTTTGTTAGGTCTTATAGATAAATTTATAATGAGTTTTTTTTGTTGGCTCATTTTTGTATATCACTTATGTATATGAATTGCGTCTTTAATTGGTGTTTTATTAATAAAACTATACTTTTGTGAATATTTTAAAATTTAATATTAATATAGTTTAAGTTGCCCCCACCGGAGAATATGTCTGGCTCCGCCCCTGACGATATTGAATGAGTTGATTTTTCGATTCAGTGAGGAAATCGTCTAAATTGAGTGATAACATCAAAGGGCCTCAAAAATCAATCCCATCATATGAAATAGTAATTTTTTTTCTTTCCCTTTCTTTAACTGCAAAATTTGAAATTAATTTCTAACCATTAGTTTTTTGAAAAAAATCCATAAATTTTTTTCAAAATACGTGACCTAAATATCATCATATGTACACTATTGTATTTGAACAACGTCCAAAATAAAAATTATATTGAGTCACAAATTATTCAAAAATTAAAATGATTCAATTTGTGATATAAATGGGTAATGTGATAGAAATGAGAGAAAAAATATGTGGGGATAAAATTCAAAGTGCTAGTTATTTTATTAGATAGATAGGTTAACATGGATCTAGTGATGGATCACTGATACAGTGATATTTGTCTCTTGTTTTGTCTTTCTAGAATTTATACAGTTTGTTTGATTGGAAATCGGGTTACTCTGAATTACTGGAGTGGCATTTTTATATGCTTGAAAAGGAGTAAGACGATGTTGAGATTAGTGCAATGGCTCTCTGATCCGTATATGGTGTATGTTACACTGGTTTGGCAAGCAAAGGGCACAACTTAGGCTGATATGATGAGGGTAAAGAGGCAATGCTTAAGCATTTATCTTTAGGGTGCCCACAAAACTGTGTTATTAAATGTATTCAAAAGAGGGTGATGTTGGTTCTGTTTGATATATTGTGCCATGCCTGGAATGATCCTTTTCATGCTTTGGACATTTTGTTCTAGACTTCTAGTAGTTGCCATTATGTCCTTTTGGAGATTTATGAGTAATGCCCTAAATAAGTTTAAAATTGTCCACTCCTATAAAGAGGGGGGATGATAACAAGTTAGTGCATGATCTCTACAATATGATAGGATGGTAATTTTGATTTCTTACAGAAATGCATGTTGGCCCCAGTAATGGAATTTCTTTTTGATTATATTCCTTACATCATGATAAAATCATATGTTTCCATAGGATGGGCCCAATCCCTGCTTGGGAAGAGTTTCTTAGATATGCAAAAGAAGGCTAAAACTGAGAAAACTGGAAAACTCTTCATGTTTTCTTGGGTCAAATAACGTGGTGGAATATAGTAACCCAGACGTCATGGTTTGCTATTGGATCCTTATAAGTGGTAATTTAACTACTAGCCAGTTTTGAGGCCTTTTCTATATTGTGTTGCTAATCTTATCCGATTATTCCCCTTGGTGGTCCATGAAAGCTTGGTTATTTGATTTTCTCTCTCTCTTTTTTGGTGGCATAGGGTTTCGAAAGGAGTGAAGGATTTACCAGGAAACTTTCAATCCGCTACTAGCTATGTTCCTTCTGGAAAATCTCTCATGTACTTCGGTTTACTCCTTGCTTCTGGAGTGTTCTTTATTTTCATTGCATTCACAATGTTCCTACCTGTCATGGTGCTGATGCCTCAGAAATTTGCAATCTGCTTCACTGTTGGTTGTGCATTTATCATTGGATCATTCTTTGCCCTCAAAGGCCCGAAAAATCAGTTTGCACACATGTCCTCAAAAGAGGTATCTCTATTATTCTTAATAACATTCAAGTTTAATTCTGTTTTTTATTTTCTTTTTTTAAGAGAAATTGGCAATTTAAATTTGGCTCCTCCTTGTCAGAGACTTTAGTTTTTCTGTGTTGCCTGTACTGTATCTTTTCTTCTCCATCTTTATATGTATTTTTTATTTTGGCCTTTTCAGAGGCTTCCTTTTACCTTGGGATTTATTGGCAGCATGGTGGGTACGGTCTATGCTTCCATGGTGCTTCATAGTTATATTCTTTCTGTGCTCTTCTCGCTATTGCAGGTATTTTTCCCAATCTTCTCTGATATATGCTGTATAATGATGTGCAGCAACGAAAAACTGGCTACCTAACTGGTCGGTTTCAGATGGGATCCTCGCCCCATGTTATGGCCTCGATTCCTTGCTTAGGTTAATATTTTTAAATCCAAATAAAGTGTTCTGCTTAAGAAAGGATTCCCCTCATCTCTGCAAGCCTGGTCATACAGTGGAACTCTGCATATGGAAAATGATTTTATATGTGGGCTGTGATTTCTGTGCCCACTGTTATCACGAGAGTGCATGATGAATCTCTCTTATGGACAGGTGTAAATTTGGAATGTTATTTACTGAGATTAGTAGACTACCATGAGTTTATTGAGCTGTTCCCACTGGTTTATGCAATGGGCCTATAAAAATTAGTTAATCCCCAGCCTGTGTTGGCATCAGTAAACACAAATTGAAACCTACTTATGATTGGCATATTCTGGCCATTGACACTGGTTATCAACTCCTCTTAGCTGGATGAATGTTGCTACTTGTATTATGACATGCTATAACAGGCTGCAGTTCTCCTTGGCCGATGTGTATCTTCCATTTTCCCCTGTAGTCTGCATCTGTTTTGCATTCACTTCTCATGGGCTTCGAATATTTACATATTTCTCTTGCTTGCCTGGAAGATGCAAATAATATTGGTAATTAGTCAAAAAATACATAGTTTCCAAGATAAAAGAGAAACAGCCTTTGTTATTTGTTAAATGTCTTAGTGGGAAGATTTTTGAATGGACACATGCTCAATCATCTCATTATCCATAAAAAAGGAAGGATGATTGTAATTGTTGCCAATATAGTGGTGCATGTTCTCAACAAAATGATGATTTTCTTTCTTTTTTCTATTTGATATTTTTATGTTACAAGCAATAGCTGTTGCTGTACCTTATTTTGGACTAAGTTGATCTTGCTAGGTCCTTGCACTGTCATATTATGCGATTTCGTACTTCCCTGGAGGATCTGCTGGGCTGAAGTTTCTTTCTTCGTCCCTTACCTCTTCAATACTCAAATGTTTGGAAGGTGACATTGACTTGTGGTTTGTTTATCTATCTCTTAGTCATTTTCTCAGTTCCTCTTACACTTTTGGTGGTGTTGATGTGTTTCAAGACAGTGCTTAATAGCATACGGAATGATCTTACTATTTTACAAATATACTGGTACTTTTCCGCCTTACTTAAATGCATACTTAAATTGTGCCTCGTCCCTCAGACTAGACGTTAATGAACCATATTCATTGTGCTGCTTTCATTCTGTCTATATCCTGAATGTAAAGTTGAATGCTAGCCGCAGGAACTATACTTAAGCTCTCCTCCTCCTCTCCTCCTCCGTCTTTGTGTTTGTGCGGTCGGGTGTGCTATCTGAGATACCCACTTAAAGAGGGAGGCTTTAGGTGAAAAGGGTCATTGGGTTGGCCTAATGATTCTAGTGCTCAGATTTTCCTGCCTAGAGCTATAGGATATAATGAATTTTATTCCACGTCAT